TACCTTCTGCAGCTGGAGGAGTGCTGCTCGCGGGGGGGGCCCGGGGCAGCAAGAATGGTTTCCCTTCCGGGGGGCAGGGGGTCTTCCTGGTCGCTTGAAGGGTGCCCTTCTGGTGGCACGCCTCCGATGGCTCCCCGTATTCAAACGGCAGTTCTCACGGAAGGCCGCGATTGCTGGTAAGCTCCAGCCTCCACGTGTCGGCCATAGTCGTGGGGCCCAGGAGCGAGAATTCCGTAACGTCCTGAGGACCGGGATCTGCCCGGGGGTATGCCCGGGTGAGGAAGTCGGCCGTGCCCTGATACCTGAGGCCGACTGGGACACCTTTCACTTCACTCACGCCAACCGGGGCACCCTCCCAGCCCCTGGCTATAGGCAACACAGCGGCGCAGAAGACTGCGAACCGAACTAAGCGAGAGCCGCACGAGGGGCGCCACATGACCTCCGGGAACCCTAAACAGGCTACCTGGCCCCACTACGCCTGGCCAGCCTAGTCGCGCGCTCTCTCCCCCTCTAGACCACCAAAACAAGGACAAACAGAAAACACCACCGGGGGCAGGGGCTCTACTCAGGGGGCTCCACTACACACACAAAATGAACTGAGGCAAGGGAAGACCGACCCACGCCAGACGCGGCCCCTCAGAAGACGCTCCTAGTCAAGGGCACCCACGCAGCCAGCAAGGCAAGAGATACACGGAGGACCACGGGTCTGTGTGTGCATGTATGTATGTATGTATGTAGGGGAAAAGTGACTTCCACTGCGCCCTCCCCCCTCCCTTCCCACGTAATGTTACGGCAGAGAACACACTCGTACACGCACAAAGACATACACCGCACATGTGCCGTGACGTTCTCTCCCTCCACCCAGCCGCTCGGCCCCCATCTACCTGTGCGGGGTCAGCCTGCCCTTGCAGCACTTGATCCGCAAATACTCCGCCGCCACTGCCGCCGTACGCCGCCGCCGCCGCCAGTGCCGCCCCCCTGACTCCCCTCTCCGCCGCCAGCAGTACACAGCGCCACGCCACGTGGATGTGCGCCCGGAACTGCCGCTGCCGAGTCCCCACCTGCCTCACAGGTTGTGGAGGGGTTGTCGGGTTGCAACGGCGGGTTGGAGCATGACTCGCATGCAGGTGTGGGTGTGTTGGTTGCGAGGGGAGTAAGGAAACAGGGCGGGCCGGGGGACAAGACGAACCACTGGCAGGGTTCGGGGGAAGGGGGATTACGCACGTGATCCCTGCTATGCCCCTCTCCGCTTCTCCCACACATACACCTCTGCCTGGGTGACTCTCTCCCGTTGCCACTCCCTCGCCCTGATGGCCCTCACCCCCCAGCCTCCAACCCCATCCCCCACCTTGATGAGCTGGGCAAACTGGGGGCTCGTGGGCTCTATGCCGCAATGGGCCCGGGCCAGGACCATAAGACCCAACAGGGACCCGCCCTGCGCTGCCGTGTTCAGATGGAACAAACCGCCGTGGAGAGCGTCCTGAAAACGGTTGGAATTAGTTGGAAGTTAGTGGTTGCACTAGAGCTAAGCATAAGTTGCAAAGGTGAATGGATGTTAGGGGGCCCAGCAGCAGCAGCAGCAATCGGTTGTTGCCGTACACGCGTGTGTGGTGCAGCGCAAGTAATTGCAAGCTGGTGCAGTGCGAGGTTCATGGGACCTGGTGTGTCGTACTGCATGTCTTGCTACTGACGTACTGTTATATGCACATATGTCTGTCTGTCTGTTTCAATGTCTAGCGACGGGAGAAAATGGCGATGTGTGCTCCCCCTCATACAACTCAGACAAATGCACATATACACATGTCGTACATTAACATCTCATCCAGTAAGACAAAGTACCTCGGGGTCCTCGTTGGGTCGGAGCTCTGGCAGCAGTACGACCTCGCCGTACAGCTTCGCAATCTCCAGGTGCACCAGCGCCTCTGGGTTCTCCTCTGCGGGGCCCCGTAGAACAAATTATAAAATGCAGTACGGCACTTGTACGACCGACGGCGACACTGACGATCAATCGCCTTCACCCTTCCCTTCCCTTCCCCTACCCCCCCGCCAAACCCCCGCCCGTCAAATTGCCCTTACAACAACCAGTTACAAACCTCCACAACTCCCAACCACCTTCCAACCGCTTCCTAACCGCTTCTCAAACCTTACTTGGCACGTCCTGCAATGCCCCCAGCAGCACCTCCTGCTCGCAGGATGTAGCTGTGAGGGAGGTCAGGGCTGCTCGCCGCCGCCGCTCAGCCAACTTGGCCTGGGGGTAGTTGGCGTTACGACTTCGAGAGGGTCAGAGAACTCGCAGGCTGATTTTGATTGCAGAGAGTACGAGAGAGCGAGACCCGGGCTGGGGGCTGGGGAGTGGTGGAGCTGGTAGTTAAGGAGGTGTGGGGGGGGAGGAGGACTATGGCGGCATCGCACGCGCAGTGTTGTTGCAGCATCCCCAGTCTTCATTCGCTAGTCTGGCCAGTAGAGCTGTAGAACAGGTCCCCATAAAGAAGACGTACCTCGGGGCAAGGACGGCGGGTTCCCCCTCCTTTAGGCCGCTAGTTCGCTCTGGATGGCAACCACTTTCACAGCGCCCGCACAGCACCGAGCTAACCCAGATCGTTCTTAGGTGCCCCTTCCCACACTGGGGTCACAGTTCCTAATCCATAAGTTCCTCCATCCCGACATTCCTATCCCAACCTCCGTCCTAATGTACCGTCCCCAAGTGCAGTACACCGTACACGTGGTACGTCTGCTCGTACCTTGAAGTTGGTGGCTCGCGCCATGGTACGCGAGGCGGTGGCCCCCGCTTTGCCTCCCCCCGGGCGGGTGGCGGAGGCAGAGGCGGAGGACGCGTCGGAGTTATAACCCTGGCAGTGCACGTCCGTGTCGCACCTGCAGGTTTTCCCCCCGGGGAGAAAAGGGGGGAAAAGGGGCGACAGGGGGGTTTTCGGAGCCGACGGAGAGGTCTCAGATGAAAGGGTTGGGAGACGTTGTCGTACTGGAAAGCCGAGCTCCTTCAATAAACCGAAACTGGGGCGAAAGCACACACTACATACTTACATACTTACCACCATGCATACCACACACGCACGCACGCACGTACACCGATTGACCGGTAAGTGGATATGTTTCCCGTTTGAAACACGCACATGCACGCGCACGCACACCTATATGCATATCCAGACACACACACGAGGCTGGAGACACTGGGTTTCTCCAGAGCGCTGGGCAGCTGGAGGGGGAGCTCATCATGAAGATCTACACACTGCCGCAAAGCAGTGGCGGAGGATTAGTTCGGCATAGGGCCTGGACCAGAGGCTGTATACCACATGGCGGTGGTTGGCTAACAAAACCGGACGGCGTCAGGAAACATTCTCAAGGATAGGGTGGTGGCGCTGTTGGCACCGGTGTGGGTGCAGCTATTGGCAGATCGCGCAGCTGTAGAGCATGCGCTTTCGGTGGAACGGAACGTTGTGAAGAAGAACGGTTGAGAAGGACTGTGACCGATATAACGCCCCTCCAATGACGGACAGTGCTTCGACAGTCGTTCCCGTTGGGGTACAGTTAGGTGCCCCTGGCCAGCGTCAGGCCTGGATGGATGTGTAACAGACACACACACATACAGACACACAATCTCCCACCTGTCGAAGGGTTTCAGCCCCATCCTGCAGCAGAGCGCATTGCACTCGTGGGATCTGAAGAACAGCGCCATGCCCCGCAGCCCCAGGTTGCCCTCTCCGTAGCCCTCCCCGTCCAGGGTGTGCAGCTGGGGGTCCGTGTACAAGTCCCCCACACCCTGAAACACCCCAGACAGCCAGCAGGGACAGCCAACAAGCATTACAGCGCAATGGGGGGTGCCGAGAAGAGCCTGCACGACACGTTAATTAACGACTTTTCCCAAACTAATTAGGTTTGTTGCTAATAAATGAATGACGAACATTAGGGGCTACGCCCTTAACTTTCCGTTAGATCACTGAAGTGTTTGCCAATAACGCCCCCCCCGAGAGATGAAGGCTACCGGGTGATGTCGTGCTGCCGGTAGCTTTGCACGGCATCACGTGGCGGCTGTACGGACCACAGCCAGCATCAGGAGTCGGAGGGGGGTGGAGCTTTAGAGGTGCTGCAGAGGTCCTTGTTCATGGGACTCCACACCTTACAGCGGTGTCCAGTGGCTACGGAGGTCCCCTCCCCTCCCCTCCCCTCCCCTCCCCTCCCCTCCCCTCCCCTCCCCTCCCCTCCCCTCCCCTCCCCTCCCTTCCCCTCCCCCTCAACCTGTATATCCACACATATCTTGAGGCCCTGTGTGAGCACCCAGGTGAAGTGGCTGAAGGCCTGAGGGGTGTTGCGCAACACATCATCGCCCTGGGGGGTTAGGAACAAGGGGGTTTAGGAGGGGTTGGGGTAGGAGAGTTAGGAGGCCGGGGAGAAAGGTCAGGAAAGGCGGGAGAGGGTCGCGTTGGCACTTTCCTACCAGCGGACGGTATCATCATCAACCTCACCCATCAACCTCTGATGCAACCACAGCTACAGCCGCATGTGCCTGTGAAGCCGTACATAATGCTTCTCTTCCCTCCCGTCACTGCTGCGGCTGCTGTTCGGGTTGCACCCACTGTTGAATGAAGCAGATACGGGCGGGAGATATGGAACGTGTGCAAGGTCTCAGAACGCGAAGGCACGACCCGCTGAACAAAAGGCTTCAAGCCCAAAGTACCAGGTTTGCCTGTATTTCCTCTGCCCTCCAAATCCCTCTCTCCAGGAATACGTTTCTTTATCGTTGTTGCGCGGAGAGCTAAAACAACTTCAGTGTAACGGAATCCCTCTGTCCGACTGCAGACGTAGTTACAACCTTGGAATGGTGTAACGTCTTCGTTAATCTTAAGTCTTTTCACGTATTTCTTTATACATCTTTTTACACGTTAATCAGATTAGTTCAGTTATGCTTAAGCGCTGTCAAAGCGGTCTCTTCGTTGACATCCAGCCAACTGTCAACGTTACGCTGGTTTTTCAAAAAAGCCATTCCTACAACACCCATCCACCCCCGTCCTAGGGTATGTCGTACATACACATACACGTGCGGGCACACGACATAACGCATTCTCAAAACCTGGATCCCCCCGAGCCCACACTCCACAGCCTGATGGGGGCAGTGCCGGGAACAGCCCCTCCCTCCCTTTTCCCCCCCTCACCCCCCCTACCCTCCCCCCCTCGCGCCCCCCCGGGTAAACCCCTACCTTGACAAACCCGCTGTTGCTGTTGTACTTTACGTAGTCCCCCTCTATCAGCTGCTCCACCGCGTACACCGGGGTCCCGGGGCGGCCGGGGAACTGCAAGATGGCGCACTGCATCACATCCACCTGCAACAGCAACAGCAACAGCAGCTGTAAGAGAAATAGCAGCTGTAAGAGAAATAGCAGCGGTTGCAGGTGCAGTAACACCATTAGGTATGTCGTACGTAGGGGTATCCGACGTGCGGACCTTCTCGCAGCGTCCGTAATAGCACCGAGCTCAACCCTGCCTACATACCCACGGCATGACATACATATATACATACTTTTAGGCAGGCGGCTGGCAGAGGTTAAGGCCTGACTTCTGCTCCCGGAGTGTTCAGGTTCAAATCCGCCTGCCGACTTCTCGGGTGTTTGAGAAGTGTGGAAATGGGAGGTGGCCCCCCATCTTATGGACGGTGTAGGACGTGATAATATCAACTTGCGAGCTGGCCAGGAACTAAATTGTGGCGCCTTTGATCCGCTAGTTTGGGTTGGATGCTGGTGGTGAGTTGCTGAACCCAAGTAATACATTCTGAAGTCGGATGGGGTGAATGGACTGGGGTGCCTCTCTCGCAAGGGAGAGCAGGGAACTGCCTCCAAGGGAAAGGGGGCCGCTGGTGAAGCATAACCACCCTGTAACGACATACATACGTACATACATACATACACACCTGCTTGGGTGGGTCCGTCTTGTTGTACATCTCCCCAAGCATCTTGGCGTCCATCTGGACGAGCACATCATTGTAGTACACGGACTTCCGTACACCCTCCTTCTTGTAACGTTTGGCCACCTGAGAGCACCGGGATGCACGAGGTGGCGGGCGAGTGCCTAACCGCGGGGGAGACACACACACACACACACGCACATGCGGGGGTCTCCAAAACCCAAACTCAACACACACACAGACGCACATACTGACGCTCAGGGTACGGTGGCCGGATATGAATATAGAGGAAGGGCTCATGCAGAATAAAATAGAAACCTTCTAGGTTTCATTTCATAAAACGAGATTGCAGACCACTTAAACAAGGGCAGTCGGGGACGTGGCACTCCCCTCCTCGCTCCACGTTTTTCAAGTTATGATGTTCAGCACTTTCCTAAATCTTTTAATTCCCCAGCTGCCGTGTGACCATCAAACCCTAAAACCCCCCGTCACCCCTCTCCCACACATACATACACGCCTTTTGTTGTCAAAAAAACCCTCCTTCCCTCCTTCCCGAATTCCATTCCCCCATCCTCTTCGGCCTCTCCCGTCACACCATGTTTTGGGCCTTATGCCAGTCCACGTTGTGTGTGAAGGTGCTCAGCTTCTTAGCCGCGTAGCACTCTCTCATCGCCCCAGCAGCGAAGGGTTTGGACTCCATCTTGACGAGGACTGCGGAGTAAAGGGGGTGGGAGTAAAGATGAGGTTTGGGGGTCAAGATCGCAAAGAACCACGAAATGGTGTCGAATGTATGATCAATATGATAAACGCTATTCTCGGGGGGGGGACTGTATGCCAAGGCCACCAAGGGGGCGGGAGGTGAAGCGATGTTCTGTAGGTGTTGATACATACCCAGATTGTTTGGTTGGGAAGGGAGATAAAAACGAAACGAAACAAAACAAAACAAAGCGATAGAGCACAACAATATACAACAATACATGTTATTTGCGAACGAACGTCTTCAGGTAAACAAATGTCAGTCCGTCCCCGCATGACTTGACATTACATGTCCACTTGCATGATGTCAGAAAATTCCTGATGCTCACCTTCGTCGGTGACCCAGTGCCCGGCCAAGGCGTTGTACCGCTGCCGTACTGCTCGCTCCATGGGCAGGACGTGGAGGTTACGACTGCCCCAAGGGTCGGCCACCATCTTGGTCAGGTTGATGGCTCGGTGCCAGAGGGAGCTGCTACGCGGCGTGCCGCTGCAAGGTCGGAAAAGGGCCGTTACGACGGTTGGCGGTTGGCGGTTTTGGACGAGGTTGAGGAGTGAGAAGGGCAGCGGAGAGAGGGATAGTGCGGGGCAACCAGCCAGAGCAGACGATAAGCCGTACGATAAGCCGTACAGCCAGGTCGCTAGCTAATAAGCGGTAGCGCGTCACACGCCCAAAGCTCTCTACGATATCCCGCCATTTAATATCCTATCACTGCCCACCCAAGCACCCACCACTTGGAGCCTCCCGTCTCGCCAGCGTCCCTGCGGGCATCCCTCGCTACGACGGCGGCCAGCGCCGCAGCAGCAGCCGAAACAGGTGCATCCGCCGCGCCGGCGGCGCCACCGCTGCCGGCGGCAGCAGCAGCGCCTCCGCCGCTGCCTCCGCCACCGGCCCGGTCGGTGGCAGCGGCGGCATTGTTCTGGTCCAGGTCCAGGTCGCCGCTGCTTGAGGGCCCCTCGCCGTCGGCAACACTGCCGCCGTCGCCGTCGGCTGCCGAGGGACTCACAAGCGACAAGATGCCGCTGGGCATCTGTGACAAGGAAGGGCTCGGCTCTGTGCGAATGCTCTCCATCGTATGGGCGTGGAGCAAAATGCTCGGAGCCGCCAGCGGCGGCGGAATGGTGATTGGACGTGAGGGTACGCGAACGTTATCCTGTACGGCACCGCTGGCGTCGTCGTGGAGAGATCCGCTCTCGGCCGGGCTGTCGGCTAGCGGGCATGTCGCTGTCAGGGTGCTGCTGGCAGGCGCGGCGGCGCCGGCGGTGCTGCCACCGGGGGCACAATCTGCGTCCGTGGCGCCGTCACGGAAGGGCGACACGGTTTTGTTTGTGTGTACGGCCGCGGTGTCCGCTGGGGCTTGTGGGAGTGCGGGTGTGGGTGCCGCACTAGCTGGTCTGCCGACGGCGGCGGCGGCGGCGGCGGCGGGTGCTGGCGGGGTACTCAACACCGGTGCGGAGAGCATCAAGCGGCCCAGAGCCTGCACAGGACAAGAAGGCGGAAAGATATGGTCACCGGACAGGAATTACAAGCCATGGTGTGTATGAGAGGAATCTATGGAAGAGCATGCAACAGTAAATGCGTGAGAGGTGAGGGCGGGTTTCTGCCGCCGTACAGGGTAGTCTCTTATGTAATCCGATGGCATGGGGGTGTATGGCGCGGTCTAGCAGTTAATTACACCTTTCGGATTAACGGGCTGGGGGATCTCACACTGCGTCAACAATGTTGGGTTTAGAAATCGGCCAGGAACGCCATTGGGAAGGTGGGCACCCTGGGCAGTTTCGCTGACGCCTGCGTAAGCTGTATTCTTGTTGCGGTTATTCATTATTAGAATATAAGGTTGGGTACCTGCATGGCAGCAGGCAGGCCGTACTGCTGCGCGATTCGTGCGTAGAGGCCTCCAAGTTGAGTCTCCAGCTCCGCCAGGCTAGATGACGTGTCATTGACAGCCAAAGATGCCATTGTGGCAATGTTGAGCTAATTCTGAGTTTGTGGCACAGTATCTAAGGCAGGGGGATGCAGGAAAGGAGAAGGTCCGGAGCCCTTCAAAAACTGCCAGCGCAATTCCGTCAAGGATTACCGCAAGCCTTCGCCATGCTGCAATCAGAAGAGGTAATCATTATGCGTAAGCCGTGTTAGTAATGGAAGAAAAATGACATGAGGGAATGGCCATTTATGTCAAACCGAGCGCACGTTCCGCACTTGTACGAGCAAAAGGAAACCCACCAGCCAAGCACGTAATTATAGTACCGTTGCAACGACAATTTAAAAATGCCATTTTCACAACTTGTTTAGGTTTTAGGTTTGCTGATGTGCTTACTCCGCCAGCGGCTATCGGTATCTTACGCAGCATTAAGGACAAAGGATGGGAATATATTACTAAAATAGTCTATTGTGCAAGAAAAAAACAGTGATGAGTTTATGGTGTTCAGGCTGACTGCAAGCTGACATCCTTCTGTTTCGCCATCACGACCGATTTGGACGAGGTCGCCTAGCTACTCCCCATGGGCAAGCATATCTTACCCGCCATTGCAAATCGCTTACGCGTGAACCGCGGCTTCGATTCGGCGTGGTTCACTGGGCCCCAGCACTACGCCAAGATGCTCCAGCGCGACTGGCTGCTCACTAAGAACGTCTGGAGCTTTGTGCAGCGCGCCTCACGGTCTGCTCCGCGCACCAACAAGGAGGACCCCGCAGCCCTGGCTGCCCAGGCTGCTGATCCCTCAAGGCCACGCTACCCCAAGAAGCCGCAGCCGCGCCAACAAGACGCGCGCGAGTTCCCCAACTTCCGCCCCGCGCGCGTCTTCACGCAGCACATGCCTTACAAGTCCATCGTCTCCGCGTTCGCATACCATCCGCCAAAGGACAGCAGTCCACAGGCGAAGTACGGCCTCTTTCAGGCGGAAAGGCCGCCCCGTACCGGCGCCACTGCACCCACGGCAGTCGCACGGAAGGAGGTCTCCAACCCCGCTAACAGCGCCGCTGGCGGCCCAGGGTCCCCTCGGTGACACCTCCTCCCCGCCGCGGGGATTCGGCAAAGAACAGTCAGCTTTGCGTAGCCATCTACAAGAACTGACATGGTTTGTTTCCTCGGAGCACCGCATGGAAGAGTTCGGACTTGCGATGGGTTGGCCTGGGGCCCCGAGTAGTATGGAGCGATTTGGGTTGTGTTGGCGGAGAGAGTTGTGGAGACAGCAATCTGTGGAGACACATTTACCATCGGAGAATACGAAGACCCCAGAGGCGCCATGGCAGCACGAGACAAGCCGGGACTGGTAGCGCTCGGTTCCCTGTCGAGAGGGTAGCGCTGGGTTGCCCTTGGGTGGCCCTCTCCTTCCGCTCTGGACGTAGGTGAAAGCCGTGTGTGCAGGGTTTTGCATCGGGCTGGGCCCTGGGGGATGCCTCCCTGCTGTGTGTGTGATCTGCACGGGAGGCTAACGCAGGCGGGTGTTTACAGCCTGCGGGCGCGCACGCCGTGTGCGGTACATCGGTACTGGAGTACTCGGATGTCCGGGTGTCTACACCTCCTCGACGCGGTGCGGTGCGGTGTGAACGCAGCCGACTACAGTACACTAGAGGTGTGGAACTAGAAGTATGGGTTTAGGAGGGCTGAGCGGGTGAGCAGATGGGATTGGGGTTAAGGGGTTAGGCAGCGACAATCCTGTGTTGTATGGGGAATGGATCCAATAATGATGAATGTACCCGGGAAGGTGGCGGAGGAGCTGTCCGGTGCTGACCCAGATGGTCGTGACCCAGATGGGACAGGATGAGTGGTCCGGGACATTAGTTACCAGTACGGCGGTACGATGACAAGGACACTGCACCGTTGGGACCCCGCAACTGTCAATAAGGTCATGCAGTTTCATGAAGGCGAGCAGGCCAGTAAAGGGAGAAGTACGAGGAGCCTGTATTAGTGGCTTGTTGTGCTTTTCGTCGTTACAGCCCCATTGGCTGCGTGGGGTCTGGTTGCATGTGGGAAGGTAAGATGCGTTCGGAAGTAGCCCCTGGCAGAGGTGGTGCGTTGTATCAAATGCTTGAGGTGTTGAGTAGGAGTGCATTGGGGTGATTTGGGGTCTACAGTCTGGTTTGAGTAGGCTTGGTGAGTCAACGGGATGCCTACGAGTCATGTGTGGGGTGGGCGGGCTCCGTGGGACAGGAGCGAGACGTTGGAACCTGATATGCAGTCAATGAGGAAGTTGGGTTGACGACCGTGAGGTACTGTTTATGGTACCCCGCGCTGAACGATTTCCCACGTGACCCCGTGTGGAATCTCTCCCCTGGTGCATTGGCTGTTTGCCTTTTCCTTGCCGTATCATCTCAAAAGACGGATTTTCTCTGCATCCTCGTATCTCTGTAAGCCTTACGATCGGGGTGACAAGCTCAGACCTTCTCGGCTGCATGCACATGGGCATGAGAAGCCATGTGCCCGGCATCCGTGGTGATCTGGCGCTTCAGCGGCGCTCCGCTTGGTCCGGGGTTCAGGACGGATTAATGCGAGGTGCTGCAGCTTTCAGGTTCGCAAGGAGTCAGGAAAAAAACTCGAAGTGCCATCGCTAAAATTACGAGAAAAAACAATCTATGATGAGCCCTTGACTGGCTGTATCCATTCATCCATCAAATAGGCCTGCAGCATGCACGGCATGGGTGCCCACGCAAGCTGCTGCAGTGTGTGGTGCGTGCCCATCGCTTCACCACAGTTGACAGCTGCACTCCGGTTCTGTCTTCAGATGAAGTGCTTGATTGGGCGAGGGAAACAAAGAATGTTGAACTACGGACATGCAGCCTCGCTTGCCCTCGCGCAATATTAATGCAGCTTGTGATAGGCATGACCGTGCGCTTGTATATGTTAGGCAAACATGTGTGAGGGTGTCATCAAGGTTGTGAATATCCTAGCATGGGTGTAGCCTGGCCTCAAGTAGCCGTGGAGGCATACAGCATACAAACTATTTGGCAGTTAAGCAGAACTCAACAGCTTATATATTTCTACAGCCGCCATAATATGATTAGTTGTAATGGGGACATGTTGATGATGTGGTTGATGGTCCTGTCTCGTTGCTCGTCCATGTGCGCTCCGAAGGACCGTATCAACTCAAGGAATGGTTGCCTACAGCCAAATAATCACTCATAATATTCTTGCCTGTGCAAATTATTGCGTGTGAAGATTGCCCAGTAACGCGTGCGCCTGGAGTGGCCAGTTTGTTTGTAACGGTCTCAGCCACACAGAAAGAAATGGCGCTGCTGGCTTCATCGACACGTTGCCGCCCTGCTAGCGGTCGCTCTACCTCCAGCCGCTCTCGTACTGTGCGTGTGGAGTGCATGATTGCGCCGAAGCATTTGCGGAGCGCTGCGGCCGCGCTCGTCACGACGGCCACACTTGCCTTGGCTGGTCCAGCGTTCGCTGATCTAAACGTTTACGAGGCTGAAGCTGGTGAGAATCATCGTTATCATCGTTCGCAGAAACTCGGAACCGTTTCGTTGTTTCCTTCTCTCCATGAGACTCGCCACCGGGGCCGACATAAGGCGTGCTCCGTAGAACACGTTGCGTTGTATGCATCATATCAATACCTTATCAGCGCGTTATCCTGCAAGCCTTAACCGCGGTTTTCGTTCTTTTCAGGTCGGTTGGCTTTGTAGCTGTCCCTCCGACATAGGCCACCAGCTCATAGTCTGATCCCCTCCACGTCTTGTCCATCCCGTTTGAACCCTCTTCGTGAATTTCCAAAGGGGGCGAATTCGGCATTGGCTCAGCGCAGCAGTACGGCGAGGCGGACGTGCAGGGTCGGGACTTTAGCGGTCAGGTACGTGAATCGCCGTTTTGATCTTCTCCCACAGTAACCCGAATTCGCAGTGAGGCGAGCAACAGGTGAAACAAGGCGGAAAACAGAAAGATTTACGATATGTTGATTTGTTTCTTTTCTGTGAGAGGCGGAAGCCGACCTATCTGGGTGTAGGGCCTTCGAGTGGGCCTGCGTATTGCTGTTCCTTCAGTCCCCACTTTGCCTCCTCATCCCCGACCTCAGGGATGTCTTCGTCGTTTGAATTTTAATATTCTCTTTCCTGCTTTTCAACCCCTACCCCTAAACCGGGTATTTCCAGGATCTCCGCCGCTCCAACTTCACATCCGCCGACTGCCGTAACGCCAACTTCAAGGGGTCTAACTTGCAAGGGGCATACTTCATTAAGGCGGTCACCTACCGCACAAACTTCGAGGTAGGGCCGCAATGGGTGTTGGGAGCTTTGCGGGAGGTGGACTGGGTGTGGGGGGGATTGGGGATTCGGGTGGGGTGGGAAGCAGCGTGGCCATCTTACATCGCCGAAATATTTTTGAATTTTTTTGAATTAAAAATTCTTGAATTTTTGCTGTTTGTTTTGCTTTGGAATTTTGGTTTGTCAGCCATTTTGTGTTTATTAATTGATTACGAATATCTCATCAGCGAGCAATGTCATGGCCACGATTCACGACAAAATGGCCATTTCTTCCCCGAGCTCGGGTTTTGCCATGCACAACTGAATACTGTGTGACCAGGGTCCGGGTCACATTACATTTTTCCCAGTGCTTTGACCAGACCATCCATCTGCTTTTGGGGCCGTTCCCCTGCCGCCTGCCCTCTGTGCCCCATCAGGATGCCAATCTGTCGGATGTGCTGATGGACCGAGCCACCATGGTGGAGGCCAACCTGCGGAATGCGGTGCTGCAGAGGGCCGTCTTCACCAGGTCAGATCTGAAGGATGCGGTGGTGGAGGGAGCGGACTTCACGAACGCGCTGCTGGACAAGACGCAAGTGATGGTGGGTGGTGGGTGCGGAGCCAGCTGGGGCACATTCCGGCCGACCAGGCCCCGGGCTGGGGATTGGGGGTTGGGGATTGAAGGCGCGGGTAACGGTGCGGGGGACGCTAGGGGTAGGGTACATAAAGAAATATCCAGCCCGCCTGATGACCAAGTACCCGTACCGGCTGCCGTACATAACCACCACTTCCGACTGCCCCGTGGCAGAACTTTCCGGCCATCCCCCGGCTCCCGTCTCCGTTGCATTCAACCCTTAGGCTCCCGGGTGCCGAACTCCACATCCCTCCCGCCGTTTCCTCTTTATGAACTCCTCCTTTTACCCCCTTCCTTCTGGAGACACCAGGAACGTGTCGTATCTACCACATAGCTTGTCACTCATGTCCACGAGCTGCCAATGTATTGCTTTGGGGTTTTAGGAAAACAAGTCATTCCGTACTGCGTACGTTCGGTGCTCCCCGGCGGCGTTCGTTGCAACCCACAACCCACCGGCCCCCTCGTTTCTTTGTTGCGTTTTCGTTTCCCCGACAGCCCTGACCCCGCCCCAACACCCCAACCCCGGTCCGCCCCGGCCCCCCTTTCAGGCCCTTTGCAAGTACGCAGACGGGGTCAACCCAGTGACGGGCGTCAGCACTCGCAAGTCGCTGGGATGCGGCAGCCAGCGGCGGTACAAGGCCAGCTACCCCTCCAATCCGGACGGACCTCAAGTAGCCGACGACGAGAAGGAAGCCTTCAGGAAGACATTGCCCGTGTACCGCCAGTGAACGCAGCCGCGCTGAGGAAGGAAGGGGGGAGGGGGGAGGGAGGAGAGCCCCTGCACGACGACTCGGCGGCCTCGGAGGCTGATACTTGGATGCTGCCGCTGCGAGGCTTGCTGCGGACGGAGGAAAGGGTGGGATGTGTGTTGCTGCGACCAACTTACTGGGCTGGATGTGACTTCGGGAAGGGGGTTTACGTTTTGCTGTAGGTCGAGTGATTTTTCGGACGCGGCGGTGTTACGTGTTACGTGGCCTGTTGAGTCTGGAGCTGGTTTGGGGGGCTGCACGGGTGCCCTCGAGGAGGTGTGGTGCTGCTGCTGTTGTACGACCTCTGTGGGGCAGCAGCCGCCCGTCCGTCGGTGAAGCACACGAGGAAAGCACGCGAGGATGGGCTGCTCTGTACGGCTCTGTACGGCGGTGTGGCGTCGGCAGTGTGGCTGTGGTGGGGGCATGGAAAGTCGTTGTTGCGCTGATGTGTCGTACTGCTTTTTTGTTACGGGTTTGTTTTTTATGCCTGGACCAGGGGTTTGCTGGATTGTTGCACGATTAACCCGATGCCGGTGGTCGGGCATCAATCACCATTTGAATGACAAGGCGGTGATTTGAAGTGTTTAAAAAAGGTGCGGCTCGGTTTGGTTTTGTGTAGGATGCCGAGTGACAGATGGCCCTGTTACGATGGCCTCGACGGTTGCGCTCCAGGGACGGTCGGGATGAGGACGTCGCGAAGAGTGTGGTGTGGGGCCATGTAGACGTGGACATTATACCCAATCTGTATGTACTTCATACCGTACATCTAATCCGCTCTGGTCTATGTGCCAGTGCGTGCCTGTGTAAGTGCGTGGGGTTGTGTTATGTGTTTTTTATCTTCGGTGTATTGTTGCATCTGCTGACGGTGTATTGCTGACGGTGGTGCGGAATGTGTTGCCTGGTCGTGATGTGCTGTGATCAGGAGGGGGGGGGGAAAATGGGGAAGACCGAGTTGCTTCATGGCAAGGTCCGAATAGACATGAAACAAGTTGGGTGTCGGCTTCCCGTGGCACACCCATCGGTTGCTGACCATATGAAGTCGGTACGGTCGTGGAAAGGATTTTGATGGTGTCGATGATTACCGATGATGATGCTGGCGCTGTTATGAGTTCTTTGACTCTGACAAGTAACATGTGCGCAGTATTATCATAGCAGCAACCCTTAGCGCTGATGCTACATATGTGCACAGTATGTGAAATAAGGTAGGTGGATCAAATCCTTGAAACTCAACAACTGGAGTTTGCCGAAATCTCTTTTGAATGATAAGTACATGTTGTAACCCCCAAAGAATCCCAATATATGTGAATGTGAACATGACCTGATTACGAAGTAATTAAAACCATCGCACGCGCTATTTTTGCCGTACCATCCTGCAACCGCAATTGAACCCCCTCTGCTGCACATTCCATATGCAATGGCAAATCCAGCACACAAGTATGCGCATGCATGCACATACATACATACATACATACAAACATACATACATACGTAAATGCATACGCACATACATACGTGTTCACGCATGCTTCTACAGGTGCACGACACCAGGCGAGGTCTAACGGAACGGCTCTTTCCCAAGCCAGCCAATGATACACGACGTGTCTGTGTGTATATGGATCCCCCTTATTAATAAGAGATCTAGAACCTCACCCGTGCAATGGAGGATAACCGGGGGAATCCCCCGGAGACGGCAACAGCAGTAGCAGCAACACGTCGCAGTAGCTCTGCTGCTATTGCAAGCAAAGTCAGCAATTAACCACCTGGTAACTTCTATATCATATCATCCAGTCAAAGTCAAGGAGACGGCAGCAACGTGCCAAGTCCATGATACACATGACCACCCGGTGCGTCTCTCCCTTCCCCCTTGAAAGACAGAGCGCAAGACAGAGAGAGAGGACCAGCGGCAAAGAGAAAGCAGAGAAAAGGAAAATGTTGTACGTACGACAGGATTTTAAATCAAGCCCAGAGCGAGCAAGAAGCACCAGATTGCACGGCGCACGAGCGTGTGTATATATGCTTGCAATTCCAACAAAAATGGGGTCTTGCGCGGTTGCGTGTGCCTTTGGAGAAGAAGGAAACAAGTTTTTGAAGAAAAGACCCGGGAGGGACGCGCTAGGCGGTGAAACAGCACATCTCCCCGGCCGGCTAGTGGTCGCCAGCCGAAACGGCGAAACGAGAAAGCTACGCACGCACGAAGCCGCCACCCTTCCCGATCACATCGACCGGTGCACTGGCAGGATCAGGAGGACCCCCCATCGAGCCCGAAAGACATCATCCCTTTCTTTTTGACGAACGACCGGGCTGCTACATACACATATCGCGCCGGTTCCTGCCGCCGGCTCCTGCTCATTCAATGTGTACCTTCATGCCCCTTCATGCTGCTCGGTCGAGCGCAGCCGAAGAGACCCATCTCTACAACTAAGGCCTACATAGTCCTATACTTAAACTGTCGTCCGCATAACCGGGACGAGAAAAAAATGCACCACACACCAAAATGACGCCAAAAAATATCCGCGTTCCACAACGCCGCCTGCGGATCGTCGCAACCGCCAACTGGCACCCGCCAACCGCCAACAGTTGATAAAACCACCGCGTCCGCTTACTCCCCCCCTTGCTCTGACCCCACCAATCCCTCCCCTTCCAAAATTTTTGCTACTGCTAGTGGTGCTGCTGCAGCTACCTTACGCCTTTTCCAGCGCCATGTAAGAAGCAATTCGGGTCCCCATGTGCCCTCGCGCGCGAATTCCTGCGTTGACATGAGTGCACACACAAAACCAAGACGCACCGAATACACAGGCACATACGTACTACCGGGTCCGCACGCGAAAATCTGCTTACATCGCGCCGCGCCGCGCTTTCATCACATCAATCTTTCACCGCTTAAAGTCATTAATCCCGCGCCTACATGATACAATCACCAATACATCACCCACATAAAGAAAGGGCGACCACCCCAAATGAGACAATGCTACCACTACCTTTAAAATACTGTTGACGCTAACAGATAGCAGTACGGATCAACTACCCATCAACCGATTAGCCACAACCGTTAAGATGCTCAACCCAAAAAGCTACCGTTACCCCTCATCCGTCACGTTGGCCCGCAGGCGAGGGGCGGTTGAGACCTGCGCTCGACACCAGCCATGGACCCAGCGGCGGCGGCGGCGGCGCGCCAAGTACTGGTACTGCGCCTTCACGCGGTACGGCACGGTACAAATCCGTACAACTATTGTTCACCATTCACCAATCGCAACATCAGCGCGCTGCGCTTTGAATGGCCGAGTAATGATTGGATATGTTACTGTTGTCCCATCCCGCCGCTATAATGTGACGTAATCAGATGGACAAAGACGACCCCTTTTAGGGGCCCACATGAACACTCCAGCCTCCAGGGGAGATAAGTACGGCGATGCGGCGGCAAATGTGGGCGACGGGCAGCAGCATGAGAGCACAGCGGCAGCCGCGGCTGGCGTCGCCGCCGCCGCCGCAGCGGCGCACTCAGCTATCCTATCGTCCGGCCCCGCCGTCGCCTCCTCATCGGCACGCATACGCGCACCGGATGGCGTAGTACGGCACTGCCGACGAACACAACTACCGCGGCGGCGACGACGCAAGCGCTCCAAGTGCCCCCGCGGACCCGACCTTGTGCGGGGCCTCGCTACCGGCCGCCGCAGACGGGGTGGCGGCGGCGGCGGCGGCGCTTCCGCCAGCACCATCACCGCCCATGTTGCCGAACGTACTCCGTACAGTTGCGTACGAACCACTCGGGTCCAACGGATTCGTTGCGGTGTAGTAGCCTGTAGCAGCACACAAGCACGGGCGGACGGACAGACATACATGAGGATGAATGCTCGTTCGACGCGGGGGAGCTCAAGAACGTCCATTTGAATTGGAAAAAGACAGGGTAATAATTCCGAATCTATTGTCATCAGCCCCATCGATTCCTTCCCTTAGCACCTCAACACCGCTACCACCCGGTCGGGGCACAGCGGGTCGCCAGGGGCGCCAGGGGCGGGGTCGCTGCATTCCTTTCAATAGCCGTTATTAGCACGGCCCGTAGTTTACGGCCCTTAACATTTAACACGGCCGTTACTTTTCCCATCCGCATCCATCCATCCATCTACTAGAAGCAATCCGCGCCAGTTTCCCACCTACCCGTCTTTAAATAAATTTGCTACAGCACCGCTTAGCCAGCCTTTCAAGCGCTTCCGCCGCATCACAGCCCAATCACAGGCCCCGAATAAGTAACCCACTTCACCACTTCATCGCGAATGCGCATTCGAGGAACCGTGGCAATGTTTGCAGGCCCAGACAGACGCCCGGAACCCCCGGAACCGCCATTAGCCATGGTGGCGGCGGCGGCGGCGGCGGCACCGCTTGGGCGACTGTCAAACGCGCATTCGAGCAAACAGGCAAGTCGGGGCCTCGGTGGACCGCCGGTGCCACACACACCCTAAGGATCAGATCCACAAACGCGTCCAGACCGACTCTATATATCCGACAGCTCCAGCTGAAAACAGCGAACATCAACAGCAGAAAGCATATTGCTGATGCTGGCAAGGGTGCTATATGATGTAAGTAGACTTACTATCCCGACTGTAAGCCGTCTGGTAGACACTGGCCGCAGCTTCTGAGCCGGAGAGGGACAGCCGGTGAGATCGGAGCCGGTCCCCCCCCGCCGCGCCAGCTGCTGACGCCGCCGCCGCCGCCGATCTTCCGGACGTCAGCGACGCCGACGTGGGTGCCACAATCAACAGGTTGCCGTCGGATCCAGATCGCAGCGGACCACGCGGCGTCCGCCTGCTAGCCGCCGCCAGCGGCATTAACTTATCCAGCAACGACGTCGCGCTCTCGTACCTGTTCGCCGCACTGTCGGGGGGCACGGCGGCGGCAGCGGCAGCGGCGGGAGTTGCAGCAGCGGCGGTGGGCATCGCCGTGATGGTTGTAGTGCTGTGTGCTGCGCTTCCGTACGCGTGCGC